GATAAATTCCCTCTAGCTGGGAGCAGGCTGACTGTTCTTTCAACCGCCTAATGGACAATTATCACGGCAGCCATCTCGGCAGCAACTGGCTTGTACTACACTCCTAGTCTCTGTCTGGCTCCTGTATAAACAATGGGGGCTTCAGCATCTCAAGTGCCTCCAGTCAAGTATGCTTTTACATGTACGTCTTCTTAGCGGCACGTCTTCATTTTCTCAAGAAAGTGAACACCTGTCTAAGATTATTGAATAAGTGGAAGCCGGGGATAAGGCATATCAGCGACGTTATAATGCAATATCCCATGATTTATGGCTGTTACAAGACAGAGTAAATCCTGTTGGTCTGTCATAAGCTTCTGGTCCAATCAATTTGCAACAGTGCCCTCTAGTGGATTGCAAGTGAAATGCAGGCAGGCAATCGTGAATGTAATCTTCATAACACTGCATGTTTGTGACAAATCATGGGAGATATAATACTCACTAAGACTGTGAAATATTTTTTCGTGTTTCCTCCCACACATGATTAACAAAGAATCTTTTTTAAATGTGAATTTGCAAGTTATTGATATTTGCTATTATGAAAATAACTTCCAAATCATACTTTCATTTTTATACAACTGGTGCAATTAATCAATGAAATAGCTCTACTATTTCCATTTATCATACATACAAACATGTACTTATCATCTTGTCATCTTACTTTTTTTATCGATAGCTCTAAGTAAAATTTATTTAAGTTGCTGCTTGAATCTCCTTCCAAATAAGTGTTATGTTGTCCTTTTGGCCTTTCTCCTTATAGATATACACCTATATGCAGATGCTGATGTTTGTGAGTTTATCAACTTCAGTAAATTTAAAGTCTGAACGTGAAACGCTTGATTAGTCTGAGCCTGAAGTATACCACAAACTCAGCAGGGGATGAAGGAAAGTTGGCGTGAAACCGCCTACCTGATATTAACAACCTCACAGGGATTTGGACAAATGTTTCGGGGAAGGAGGCTCGGGAGCTTGACGTAAGCCGTCCTCTTAAAACATCATCCAGGGAACGCCAGGCAAAGACAGCTCATTCATTACAGGAATCACTTCTACATCCTAGAGAACATTACAGAAAATCTCTGATATCCCGCCTTTAAAGGCACCCAATACAATTTCAGGGCGGCAAT